CAGGAGCACAGATAATTTGATGGCTTGTATCCTTTCGATGCCAGCTACACAAAGGTTGCCAAGTTGTGCTCTTGCCATTGGCAAAAGTTTTAGCCTCCGATTCATCATCTTGTCAAACTGAAACAGGATGGGGAAGAAAAGGTTCGAGGCAGGAGTACTCCCTCTACCAGGATGGGGAAATGGGACTCCTTTGAACAGCCCCTTGCATACAGGAGTTCCTCTCCAAGTGGGCAGAGGGGATTAATGCTACATGAGGCTTGAACTCAGAATGAAAGCTGGCACTGGAAGAAAGCCAACTGTGCAACACTCCTCTAACTGCTTAGGGGACTCTGTTGTTGTCACGTGAAACTGAGAAACAACTGGGAGGCTCCGTTCAGAAAGCACTCGGGGTGGAAGCACATTAGTAAAGCCTGATGAAGGAACAAGAGCAGCACCTGTCTCTTCCAAGTCTGCCTGCAGCTAGTACCCATCAGGGGACTTTGCCTCTACCAGCAGTAGGTTCATTTTCAGCTGAAAAATGTTTTAGAAAGCCTCCCAGGCTTTTAAGAGAAAGAAGTTTAAAACCCAGACCGGAAGCCTTAATTATAATGGATTTGTGTGAAAGTTGCCAGATCTCTCCCTGCTCTGTGATCAGGGCTGGGCCAAGAGTCTGCTTTGTGTCACACTGGCAACTATGTTAAGTTCAGCAAAGTAACTGGGTCAAAGATGCAAAGGCAGAACAGAGATCACTGACTAGCACTAACAATAGCCTGCACTGCAGAGCAGAGAGACAGTGCAATCATTTCAAGATTCTTGTTGTAATTAAAAGGTAGCCACAGTCATATCGAGTGGGAGCTGCTCAGAACAAATCCTTTTGCATGTCACATTTTACACATTAGAAAGTCACTCAGGGTCACCATGACCGGAAAACAGCTCAGTACATGAAACAACTGTGAGAACTAGTTGATCATATTGCTGGAATTGAAATTAACTTACAGAAAATAAGGAAAGATTGGAGCATTCTCATGAGCAGCTCTTCTAAATATGCAGCACTGTTGTTTTCAGTCAATGAATTCCATCTACTGTGAGCATAACGTTACAGATGGAGAATACCGATCTCATGTTCAAGAATTTAATAGTGTTTACTCTAACACCAGGTGCTCTGGAGATCACTCGACCTTCAGAGAAAACAGCAGGAACAGAGACAACTACATTGTTTTTTCCAGTGTCTCAGACTTTCCCTAAGAAAAATCAAAGAGACTGGAGTAAGAGCAGAAACAAATATTGAATGATACAGGCCAAGTCAGTCCTAGGCTTCTAGATAGCTTCAGAATACTTGCAAACAAAGCAGCGTAACAAAAACAAATGTCAACATAGCAATTAACCTGGAACTCACTGCAACAGACAACAGGGAAACATACCTTGTCAACCTATGAATAGAGGGACTATAAGCAGTTACACAAAATATGACCTTATAAAAGATAAAGCAAGCAACTAAACTCTTGTAACTCAGAATATAAAAATTACTTGTTAGATAGTCAAGGAAAGAGAACAAAAACCATTTCTACTATGTCCTTCCATTTTCCTTTTAAGTGCAATGACACAGGATACAAATAATCCTATCAAAAAAACCCACATTAATCTCTCTGGAAAACTCAGAACCACTGGCTATCCACAGACAGAATGTGAACATACAGTCACTGCCAGAAACATGGTGGCCACATGGGACCAATGAGGAGATTTATGTCAGAACAACAACATAAAGCAACTCTCCAAGATATAGAAATGATTGCACTTATAAAGCAACAACTACGGCAGGCTGCAAATGCTGGGCTAAGGACCTGTCCGCAGGAGATGTGTCGAGCACAGAGCCTGCACAGGCTGCTGCAAGAACTCCACAGGCATGACCAGGCATAGCAGCAGCCTTCTTGAATTGCTTACTCCCTTAATGGCTGAAAAAAAAACCAAAACAATGCCTATGTGCTGCTGGTTATGCTTATGACCAACCTCAGTAGGTCAGCTATACAGTATCTCATTATGAGCACAGTTATGATTTATTGATTTATTTTTTGAATTTCCTACTGGTAAGGTATACATGGTATATAACATTTAAAAACTTCATTTGGAACCATTCATAATGCTAGGACATATGGAAATTATATTAAAGGACTATGGGAATCATGTCTTGCATCATTTTTCAAAGTAACATGTAAATACTACAACACAGACCATTAAGGGAAATGCCACTCAACCAGAAACACTAGAAGATAACTCACCAGGCTTCCCACTGCCTTGTACCACACAACAGATAAATGCTAAAAAGCAACTGTTGCCTTTGAAATTCCCAATTTGCAACACCTTGCAGAGATCTCTCAGGAGTCTCAAGATGACCATCTGTAAAATGTAAGCATTTAAAAACAATGTTCCTGATTTTGAAAATCATCATCTTTGTCTGTCTCGGAAATTTTAGGGACTAATAGCGTTCTCCCACAAATTAGCCTTAAACTTGAGTAATCACCACAGTGTTCCTTCTTAAGGAGAGGGATGGTTCAAATTAACATGCCAGCTCCACAGATATTTCATTCCTAGTCAAGAATGGCATGAGGATTTCTTATTAAACTGCTTCCAATGAAACAGATTAAAAAATTATTATTTTTTCCAATCACTTAACCAAGTCACTAATTGATGTTCACTAACAGCAGTATTTTATTTACAGAATCAAGCTGGTAGGCAAGAAGGGGACACAAAGTGTTAGGCTCTGCTGACCAGCCCTCAGTTTGCAGATGACAGCCATCGGTTCTGTACATGTTGCTGAAAGATTGCCTGCTCCAGGACAGCCTGCTTCTCCCTCATGTTTGCTCTACTGGCAGATCACAGTGATAACTGTTTTCCCCCTAAAGTCTTCCTGAAGCTCCTCCCTGAAACACAGTCAGTACTGCCCTTTAATCAAGGAACAATTCGCACACACAGACACACACATGCACACACGCTCATAAGCCACAGCCATTTGTGAAGAGGGGAGGTGGGATATAAGGATCCAGTTTTCATTCACTGCACTTTCCCCTCTAGGACGACTTCAGGAGAAAGCATCACTATTATCTCCAGTGCATGTTAGCAGCCAGGCTGAAGCCAGTCAGCAGTGCCTGGCATTGTTTGGAGGAACACAAAAGATCTTCTGTTTGGAAAGTTCAAGAAAGCAAGCAGAGAGCCCGTGGCCTGGTCCTGCAGTCAAAAGCCTGAAACGGAGGCTGAGAAGTTCTCAGGCAGAGGCTGATCTGAAGCCCTTTGAAGTTGATGGGAAAACTCCCATGGACTCCAGCAAGCTTTGGATCATGCCTGAAATGCACAGAAGGGAGCAAAGCAGCAAAAAAGTAGAAATGAACGTCTGCTACAGGGGAGTTTAAACAGCACTGGAATGACCTAATCTTTCCATCGTGGTTATCAGTACAGTGTATTTTTGTGAAGTTTGAGGAAGTAGGATTATATCTTTTTTTAAGTCTTTTCTTGAGGACTTAGCAGTTGTACTTAAAATGCTATGCATGCTATTCTAGTGCTGAGTGTTGAATATAACATTCAGCAAAGAACTTTGAGGAAAGGAGGGAAAAGATGACCCTTTTAGATTGCTGAAATTACTAGTTTTATTCTTTTGTCCCCCGCTACCCTCTCCCAAAAAGTCTGGTTTAAATCTATGAAACATACAGTCCAGTACTGAAAACCTTCTTAAAAACAATGCTGCCAGCATCATCTATTCATAAGCAACAGTTTGAGGCAGAGCCCAACCCAGAAGAAACTCTTTAGCAGCATTCTCTAAACAATTGCTAAAGGATCCCAAGTGCATGGAGATTCCAAATCCTCTACTTAATTACAGTGAAATTAATTTTCTCATTAAAGATGAATATAGGAACATCCAAGAAGAAAAACATGTCTTCAGAATTCTGTAACACTTCCCTAATTATTTTCTTGCATATAGGAGTAATTGTTGCAGTGGTTTTAAAGTTTGGTGCTGTCTAGGTCCTAAATGACATTTTCTGCGAATTAATTTGTTAGAAACTTTTTTTTTTATAAACACTTCTTGCAACCTTTGCACAAGATTCAACAAAGAGCCAAAGTATCCTTTTTTTTTTTTTTTTTTTTCCAAAACGTAGGATGTTTCCTCTTTCCTTTGCTAATAGAATCCAACTGTTGCCACATGACATCATTCCCCAGAGCTAGGGAATCCAAGCTCACTCACTCAGATGCTCGGCTGGGAGTAAATACCGCAGGAGAAAAAAAAAGCAAACAAACAAAAAAATGAACAAGCAAAAAACCCACCGAACTTTAAAATGTGAGGAAATAATATTGAAAAGGCAATTTTTGTTACCTGAAATTTGGAGCGTTTCCCTTTCCACTCCATTCTCAGATTTGTATTTCCCAGACAAAACTCTACCTTATTATCTGAGGCAATCAGAAAACCAGTCGTTTAGCGTCTAATACCTGCTGTGCTTCTCAACTCCTTCATATGACCTTTCGCAGCACTGATTCCAGCTAAAATGATTGCAGTGAACACAGACTGGCCAGGCCAGTTGTCATGGAGACATCTCTCTCTCTCTCTCTCTTCATACGCACGCGCGCGCATACACACACACACAGATTTAAACAATTCTGGGAGGCATCCACAAAACAGCATGCCTTTTCATCAGCTAAGTTTTTGAAGCATTCCACCCCTCCTCCAAGCCCTCCCTAGAGTCAGCCCAGGAAGCTGAGCTTTCGTCATGAATCGGTTGTTCAAATTAGAGATATTGCCTTTTAAAAAAAAAAGAAAACCAGCACAGAACTTGTACTTTTTTTTCCCCCAGGAAGGAAAACAGAGGTGTTAGCTTGCCAAAGCTTTGAACTAAAAGTAAATCTATTGCATTCAAACCTGCGGGCTATTTGTCTTCGCCTGACTTGTTATGAATTTGATATCTGAAAGCACTAAGGCTTTGTTGAAATACAATCATGCAGATTACAAGAAATTCTGCTGGCACGGCCTGACTGCTTACCTTGCTGTTCTCCCAGTACCCAGCCAGTGACTTAATTAGCACAGGTATTCATCGTGGCCATGCAGGACTTCCTGTATTCTTTCATGTTTCTGTAATTAAGAAGAAAAATGTGCAGGTCAGGAACATTCAACTGAAACAAGCAGAAAAAAAATCCCCCAGCTAAACAAGAAAACACAGATACATTTGGAAGTTTTCATAAACTTTCATATAAGTTTATGTGGCCCTTGCCCAAAACTCACTACCTCCCAGTTAAAGGGGAAACCCATTTCCATGTCAGTTGTGAACACAAGAACCAATTAATTTACCATATTCACTGGCATCATGATTGCAAAACAAAACTTAATCCAAACAAAGACAAACAACATTTTTTTCCTTGACAAAAAAAAATTCCAAATTAATCCCCAGCAGCACCCTATAGTAAAGCCTGGAGTAATAAATCAAGAGAACAGAAAATACTTTAACAAAAAAGAAAGAAAAATAACATTTAGTAAGGAAATTCCATAAAAAATATTTGGACTCAGAAGATCAGCACCATGCCCAAAGTTTTTACACTTTGAGAAATAGCTTGGAGACTTACTCTTTAGAGGATTTAACCAGAGTGAGTCATTCAAAGTTTTAAAACTTCATAAAAGAGACTAAATGGACTGCATGACTGCTTTTTGCAACAAGCAGCGTAAGCAACGGTCCCTCTAGTGGGCGTAGAACTGCAAAGCTGGCTGTGCCCCACTCCCTAGGAAATCGATTTCTTTTTTCTCTGTCAACCACTTCATTATGCTGTTGGGATATTCCACCCCTGCATTAAAAACTTAAAATAAAATTAGCACATGCAACCCTTCATATGTTATTTAGGGAGCTGAACACAAGAAAATGTGTATGTACATTGCATAATGAACACAGCCAGGTTTGTACATGAGGAGATATAAAAGAGTTCCAACATGTAACTCTTCTGGTTGTGTTTGTAACATGATAGCAAAAGTGGGATTAAAAAACACATAGACAGTGAGATAGCCAAGACGTCTGACGGGAACACCTATCTCTCCATATAGCTATTACAAGATATAAATTACACTAGAGCATATTATTGTCTGTACTTCTCAAAACTTTACATTTTGTGAGCGACAGAGCTCCCAATGGACTGTACACTTAAACAACGTCTCTTTCTACCTAAAACACTACTCAAAGGCATGTATAGGAGGCATATTTTACAGTTATCAAAAACTGCATGCAGACTATTCACAGCTAGATGAATATAAAAAGACAGCTACTTCAGCTGTCAAGAATCTAGAAGATGCTGACATCGCATCACATGAAAGCTTTTCTAGACGTGAAAATGCCACATGCTAAGCTTGAAAACTCACACTAAATTCCCTTAAGAATGTATCAGTGAAGCCCAGCAGAACAATAGGAGCCAAATATTAAAAAAAAAAAAAAAAGACAAGTTTTTGTGTTGAAAATTTCTTTTTGGTGTATGACTGAGTTAATCTCATCGCATGATGCAAGTGGGCATAGTTTCAGCAGCGTAACTGGGGAAAGAGGGAGACAGTAGCTCCTCCCAAGAAAGGAATGCTTTATCCTACATCAGCGCAAAGGGAGCGCTCAGAGACAGGGAAGTAATTAAAAAAAAAAAAAACAACTCCACACCACCTAGGAATTGATCAATGGACAGGTGAAATGGCTGATCAGTCTCAGATTTTTTATAAACCCCATTTCTGGTAGCAGAGGAGTATGTACCAGCTGTCTGCATCATGTCCCACTCCTGAGTTTATCACAAGGTTCTGCACCACTTCATTATGTGTCCACAGCTGCATATACGGTAAGGATCTCAGAGGAGCATGCAAACCAGCATTTATAAACAATTGAAAATGCTCATTACATTACATGTACACTCAGTTACAGTTTAAAGTTCCAAACAAGACAAATGAATTAGTTAAAATATATTATGCATGCACAAATATGTAGGTACAAAGCACAGTAGTAAAACTATGGCTGAAGCTTTGGTCTTGGGCAGGTGACTACCACAGCAACCCCAGACAAACACATTTCTATTCTAAGCCTCATGAATACACTCCAAATCAATTCCTTGCCAAAAGGTGAAATACATTGCTCAGATTGGCCCCAGTGAAACAAAAAACATTCTCACCTTTTACTTTTTTTCTCACTGGGCTTTTCTATGAGCACATCAGCACCTCAAAACAAAATTTAGGATCAGGATAGAGTTTGGGATCATAAACAGAGGACATGACGAACAGTTGATATTATATTAATTACAGTGTCATGGCTACAGTGCAATCAAAAAGCATTAGAATATGTACCATCATCTCCTGCACGAGACAGACAATCCATTACTCACACATGGCTGATGTTTAGTTTCTTATTTCCAATACACTTCCCGTTTCTGACGGGCTGAACACACTCCTTCCTATGCTCTGTGGTCACAAGCACAGGAGGCAGGAGTAGACACGCACGGAAAGGGATGCGTGTGCAGCGAGGAGCCCTCGCAGGGCACACCTGGCTCCTCTGCACTTGGGACTGGAAAGGGAAATCGGAGCCGCTCTCTCTGTGAGCTGCATGGTCTGAGATTCTTTACCGAACACTTTCCAAGTCAAGCAGCCATCAATAGCAACAGGAGAGGAAACAAAAATCAAATTTGCTCCTAAATGACTCATGAACTTATCTCTTTCAGTAGGTAAAAGCACAACATCAACTTTGGGATTTAAAAAGACAAAACCAGAGGTGAATGACAGACTAAACTGCCCACAACAGCAGCACAAATCTCTGGTAGATGTGAACAGAGATTAATCACTGCAGAAAATCAGACCATTTTCCTTTGCATTTTTAAAATAAAATGAAGTTCCACATAAAAATACTCTTGTAAAGTTATATGATTTTTTCCCCTTCCTTAAATAACTTTCTGCCCTTCAGAAGTGCTTCTGTCCCTTTCCCATAGAAGATGACCACGTTGTTTCTCTTCCTCTCATATCATCTCTACACCAGTCACTGACCGCAATGGATATGTTTGAACTTAGATAAATTTAAGACTCAACAGCAAAAAGTGAAGCTTGAGTACCCTGTCCCAGTATGTTTTTAACCAGGTACCATGGAAAGGCAAGTGCCTGCAGCTCTTGCTGACCTCACTGGGAGAGGCAGAGAACTAGGCAGCTGCACTTCCTCATCCAGGCAGTGACTTGCAGAAGTATGGAAATAAGAGAAGAGGCCTCCACCAGCTCATATATAAAACATACGTCCACTACAAAAACTGTACTCTTTGCCCTCAGTACTTTTGCATAGGGCATTCTGAGACTAGTAGGTGGGACAAGATGATGACATCCAGCACAGCAGCCACCATACTCTTTGAAACAGTCCCATGACACCACTGAGTTCTTTGAATTAATAGTCCACAGAACTGGCTTTTATTGTTAACACTCCAACTCAAGACATAAAAGCACAGTAATAAGGCAAGTGACACAAGGTAACACCTCTGACCCTAAAAACATCATTCTCCTGAAGCGAATAAAACATACTGACTTCAGTGACATATTAACTTCAATTTTACCTCACTGCATCATGTTTTGCTAGGATTGTGGTAGCATAGTAAATAGCACAAAAGTATATTGTACCCCTGAAAACAACATCAAAGGAGTTCACTCCACATTTAACCCCCACCCCTCCATTTGCAATGGGACTGCACAGGTATAAGTCTAAGTTCAGTCACCTATGAACTTTTTCGTCCCCCATTTCAGCATCAGACCCATTACCCATAGTATTTCTACAACGCCCTTGTAGCAGGAGAATTAAAAATTTCCATGAGCTCTTTAATAGCCCAACAAGGATCATGTTTGAAGTACTGTACTGATTTCACTAACACAGAAAAAAAAGTGTGTGTATATATATGCGCACACACACACATACTATATATATATAGGAAATGACTAATCATAGCTGTGCACTCTCTGAGATTCAGCCAATCCCTTTACGGCCCTATATCCCATTTCAGTTTGATCTCATTCTGCAAATGAAAGTCTGCCATACTTGGGTCTGGGTGCAATACAGCAATTTGCAAAAGCTGCTAAATGATTCAGTGAAACTAAGAGAATATCTGTACCTGGTGGCTTAATTTTGTGGATATTATTGTTTTAGGCCCCAATTCAGCAAAGCGCTTAAACATTGACTTCAAAAGAACTTAAAAATATGCCAAACATGCTACAATACTTTACCAAAACTGTGCCTTAGTAATGTATGTTTCAGAAAAGAGAGACAGAAGGGCTTTTTATTTGGCAATTAAAGCTTTAAAACATTGTTTGATAATATACTCCCCTTGCTAAACCTACTAATGAGGATGAAAATCTGCTGAGCAATAAGCTGAATAATTCCTTAATAAAACAACTTTAAACCTGAACAGTGTGGAATTAACTCCTGTAAATACCTGGTTTGAGAATTACCCATACCTATAGTCTGATTCATGACAGCACATATTGCACCTCACCCTGCTAGGAAAGCAGTGCAAAGTCAAACAAGCCACACAAAATGGCTTAGGGCCCAGGCAGCCAATTCAGCCAGCCCTCAACATCCCAGTGCTGCACGCTGTCAACTGGCACCAGGCCAAGGCACAAGCCAAGCCACAGGGATAACCAAAAGGTGAGAACTTCATGTAAATAAGTCCTTCTGCTCCTTAACTCTCCAGATCCAGCCCTGCTGGCAACCCATCTGCACTCCAGTCAACACCCTTCCTGTGCGTGGCTGTGCTGTACCCCAGGCATGCCTGAAAAGGAAAGACAGGAAGCTGTAGGACCAAAACTGATGGAAGGGGGAAGCCCCCGAGGGAGGATTATTTGTCCTGTCTGGACAAAACAAGAAAAATTTGCCCTTTATAGGTGTTAGTCTCTTCCTATACTGTTTTTTACTGCGTGTATCCCCATCAAGCATGGATTTCTGTCCCAAGAAGAGAGGCAAAGATGACAAACAGGCTTCCTCTAGGAACTAGCCATATCAGGACAGATGTCAATAAGTTGCTTGAAATTCCACAGGAATTCTGATTTGATCCTACATGAATAGGAGATCTCAATTTGTCTTAGTTCACTATTGTTTCTTT